CCCCAAAACCCCAAAACCCCAGTTTTCTATCTATTGATAGTATACAGCAATTATAAAATTTTTTTTATTTGAAATATTAGTACTTAATAAGGTAATTGAATGAATATGAGTGTGAATGGAATATGAAAACTAGGATTTCCCAATTTCAAAGTTTTTGGTGGATACCGTCCCACAAATGCATTCTCATATCAATGGCGTGAGCAGCAACATCATAAGCCTCTTGGAATTTTTGGCTCTCGTTTCCAAGAAGATTCATTAGCATCTTCTCTGCCATTGGTCTGTGATAGTCTGCATCTAGGAAGATATGTCTCTCTAAATATTTTTGAAAATATGGCATATTTAAGGATTTGTCCTTGATGTTGTCAATAAATTATTAAAACATTTTTGGAATTGGATCCTCTCTACCATAAAGAAAAGAAGATGCAATTTCATGAGTTTTACCCTCTGTGGCAGTCTTTAGAGTGCTTTCTACAAATTCATAGGTATTTTAATGGATTTCCTTATGTTTGAGTTAAGTTTATTTTAATGCTTTCAACCAGTGATTGCCATTTTCCATCTCTGACACAAAATTTCTAATCGCAGTACTATCTGCTCCGACCTCTTACATTGCATTCATGTAAAGCTCAAAATGGGAAGTAGCTTGTTTGGCATCACCAGTATCGAGATCATCAGATTCTTCACCCATTACCATTTAATTCAAAAGAAAAGCAGATTATCTGTTTTTTGGGGGAGTCCAGGGTATACTAACACAAGTAACTCTAATCTAAATTGCTTTTAATAGGGTCATGAAGTCATAAACAGCCCACACATGATTTTCCATAAATACTTTCTAGTGCTATTAGGATTTGACAGCTGAGTATACTGGATGCTATTGGAGTTGTGCATGATGAGGAAGCAGTGCTGACTTTAGTTGTTCAAAGTTGCTAACTTTGGTGCTTAATCTTACTCTCATGAGAAATATTGCTTATTCTTTATTAATTATATCTAAATAGAACAGAGAATTCAAGTATTTTAATTATTCTAAATTTGATATAATATTGGATCCTATAATGAAATTTATCATTTACTTGTTACATTTGCAATTTGTTGATTTTGTCAGTTATGTATGCTAAATGGGGTTTTGGGGTTTTGGGGTTTTGGGGTTTTGGGG